AATAATTTAATTAATTGTGCTGGCCATAACATGAAGCCTCACCTAGTCAAAGAAGATAACAATATCACACAAAGTAAACAGTTGGACTTTTTTTTTAAAGTTTTGTCCAGGCGCTTTTCAAAAAAATTAATGAATGTGTGACAATGAGCTGAAAACACAGCAACATTGACAGATATGTCTATTTAGGAGCTTACTGTCAGAATGATGTATTAATTTCAATTAACTGATCACAGCAAAAATGATGCATTTATAAAATTACGTTGATTGATTGGTGCCTTTTGACTGAGTGCGTTATGGAAGGCCACAGTGGCTTTGTCACATGATGGAGGCAGACGAGATGACACTGCTGCCGTCATGAATGGAACATTTACATTTAAAAAACACCCAGATAGAACTGTTGATAGGAGCACCGTTCTCTGTAATTTCTATGGTAAGGAATTTTTGTAATAAAAAATAAAGTCCGCACACCAGAAGCTGCTCCTTGAAAATGTATTCACATGTTACGTTTCGAGCTCCTGCCCTTCATAAGACTGAAACGTAACATGTGAATAAATTTTCAAGGAGCAGCTTCTGGTGTGCGGACTTTATTTTTTATTTCATACTTACCTTTTGGTCCAGCACCCAGCATTAAGTTTTTTTGGGATGTGCGTGCTACCTTTACCTGTTAAGGAATTTTTGTACCATCAGAGTACTGCAAGCCTGAAATATCACCTCAACGCAAAGCATTTAGCAGCAAACCCAGAGGTCCAAACTAGTACAGACTGTGACGCTAGCACTAGCAGCCAGCCTCATCAAGCCACACACAACTACGCATTCAGACGCAAACTGAGTAAGTCTCCCTGTGACCGACAAACTAACTCCCTTGCAAAATGGATTACACTGGCCTGCAGACCAATTTTGGAGGTAGAGGACAGGGAGACAATTGTGTCCAAAATCCTGCAGCTTTGTAGCATGTAATTAATTCGATTTTTTTTTGCATCGCTTGACACCCCTAATCAATACACTTTTAGAAAACCTAAATTGCTAACAAAGACTGTTTTCTTATTCCCTTAAAACAACAGAGGAGCCATGTGTTCATCTATAACAGTCTATAACAGGTTTTTAACCCTGATAATAACAGGTTAAAAACTCCACTGAAGGTCAGGAGTGTCATTAACTACTAGACCTACGAGTCTTGAGGCCAATCACTGGCTGCTGATTGACTCTGAGACCTTAGAAAGTAAGGCATCCCCTTTCTTTCAACACAGGCCTTTGTTGGCTATGGCAGGCTATGGGGCAGGCATGGGCGCTCCTATGAGCTTGTGTGAGGTGTCAACCAAAAGGTCAGAATTCAGCCACCATTTTCACAGCGAGTTGTCGACTCATTTACCTGAAAACAGATATTATGAATAATATGTGTAGAAATAAGAACGTCTGAAAAGATGCAATGGCAGTTTATGCATATTCATGGATGTAATAATGTTTTTGGACTATATATTTCACTGGATTTAGATCGTCTGGACCTTTAGGAGTATATGAGGGCTGTATGAGCACCATTTATGTTGGCACATAATCGATGTGTGGATTATAATAATGCTTCATAGGTGAGTTATAACTGTTTGTTCATTGTTTGTCTGACTGAAGTGTATTGAATCTGCACTGGTGGTTGTATCTTGAAATGGTCAGCATCGATCAAACCAACAGGAGCTTTTGTAGCTTTTTAACAATATGTTGTATTAGTAAACCACTTAAACACAGCAAATTCAGCAGTTGTTTACATATCATAATCATCAAATAAAACCTTATGAGGACCCGCACTGTCAAATTGTTCTTGAGGATTTCAGAGCCATTTTCATTTACAATAATTCCGAGTGTCTTTGCACTATAAGATTGCACGGTCCCTCGAATGTTTTCCAGTATAAAGACAAAGAGCGATATGGGCTACTGGAGTGTCTAGGAAATATTGCTGGGTAAATCATTGTCTTATTCCATCAGTGTTTGGACTTAAGACATTAAGTCAAGTGGGACAATCATTAGGATCAATTTACATTTGGAAGTCAACAATTAAATATATTCTGATGACGACTGCCAGTAGGCTATTATTATGATTATTTGATGACCTAGTAATACTGCAAAAATGGCCTTTTCTGAAGTGTCAACACCACGTCTGAAGCCTCAGCGAGGTGTTTAAAGATAATTGTAACTGTCCGGTAACCTTGTAGACAAGGACAAGACCAAGACATTTGTCATGTTTGCTGGTAACATGTGACAACTGTTACAGATATCTGTGAAACTTTCTGACATTTTATAGATGACGATGATAATAATCGTTAAACTGTGATTGAAGCATCCTGATAATCTAGCACATAACATTTTATAAAGTCAGTTGACAAATGCTTTATAGGATGTTTGAGGTCATTTGAAGTCGTAACAGTCATCGCGTCTCATTCATGAAATCTATGAGTAGGTTTGCAAATAAAAACCTTGGTACTAAAAATCTACACCAGATTTACAAAGACTGTTGGAAACTCGGATTTGATTGTAGGCACGTGTGTATGTTCATGAATGCCAATCAATCAGAAACTGATTATGCTCCCGCTAGTCAGCAATTAACGTACATCACCACCCATGAATAGCCGGAGACCACCATATAAGGAGATGATAATTACTATGGATAGGTGCATCTTGTGGACCTGCGAACATGGAGCAAACAAAGGGAGGGAGAGAGAGAGAGAGAGAGAGAGAGAGAGAGAGAGAGAGAGAGAGAGAAAACCTTTCCAGGCTCCGAGACTGAAGTTATTTCAGGTAAAGTGAGATTGAGAAAAATATTTTCTTTTGTTCTGTTAGTGTGTTGGTGTGACAGAAACAGGTAAATCAAAGGCCTGGAAAGAAGTAACACATGCTGTTAACTCCATGTACTCTGTTGTAAGAACCATCCAAAACATTAAACGGTTTAATATGAAACTTGATGCAAAAACACAGCCAAAAAAACAACAACAAACAAATGCATAAGTACACACAAAAACACTACAGCAGCTACAGGAGGAGACTCTTTCCAGTCACAGATGAGCGCACTGCTTGCATCATCAGAGACCTCTCTGTCAGGGGAGACAGCGACATGCCTCCACTGAAGCAGTGAACAGCAAACTCAGAAGGCGCAGTGATGTACATGTTATATTAAGTGTTAAATCCCTATACATTCTGACGGCCATCAGTGACAGCTTAGTGTTTGGTCAGTAACGTGGGTCTCACAGTCTCACCACTCAAACAGAAGATACAATTGTGGAGTTCTCTCTCCTGACTGATTCAAGTGGGAACGAGATGCGAAGCTTTAATCTGCCCATTGCAAACTAATTTAAGTAAATGTGTTAAATTTCTAATCTTTTGTCTTTCACTTATGTGTTTCTGTGTGTTATGAACATAACAGAGCACATCAGCTGTTGCCCATGAAATCCTGGAGGGACTGGTCAAATAGGCTTGTAAGCTCACAGGTGAGTCTCAACCAAGCAGCAACCTACGAGGCAGAAAAATGAGGCCAATGCGGAAATGCCAAAAACTGCAGTTCATCAAATGACCACTTGAGGCTGGCTCCAAAACTGAGTCAATCCCTTTAGACCCCCATGTTAAAATCCCCAAATTTACAGCTGAAATAAACATGTTTAAAGCCTGGTACAAAAAAACATTTTTGTCTGTATAGCTAATTTTAACATTCATGACAACTGCACAGGGGGTAATCTTTTTGTATAACTCACCCGTTTATGTTTTATTAAGACCCAAAGTTACTCATAATTAAGGGCGGGGCCACTTGAGTGACAGGCTGTCTGTGAGGCGTTGCCACTGTCTATGAGTTAGATCCAGCCCATACTCCTCAACAGCTCCAACCCCCCATCCTTATATGGTCACCTCTGGGCCCCCAAAACCAAGATGTCGACAGCCAAAACGCAGAACTGACCATGAGAACCCTGTGACCCGTTACTCGTCATTAAGTCTAAGTCAAAGCCACACCTGCCCACACCTGTTAATAAAAGTCCCAGGACCTGACCCACACCCGAGAATAAACCTGCACAGGCTGCAGTCACTCACATTAGGCTGGGTTCTCCATTCTTGAATTACAAATCCAGCTGAGGAAAAGTCTCTTTAACTGGCTGCACTCGATGCCAAGATGGCCGACATAACACCACTTTATCCTGTTAAAACAATACTCACAACTTCGATTACCTTTTATGAAAAGCCCTTTAGATTCTTTTGATCTGAGGACCCTTACGGACTAAAGAAATATGAATAACTTGGGTAATCAAGGAATGGACACATCATTTGAGGTAGATGAAACTTGTTGTAATGTATTTCGTTTTTATGTCCTTTAAATCTGTATTGCTGTCATGTCTTCTTTTGGAATGCTAGAATGCTGAGTTTCCCATCTGCACAACAAACTTATGGCATGGTGGCGCAGTGGTTAGCATTGTCGCCTCACAGCAAGAGGGTTTCTGGTTCAAACCTGGTGAGGGGTTGGAACCTAGGGTGAGGGAGCCCTTCTGTGCGGCGTTTGCGTGTTCTCCCTGTGTCAGCGTGGGTTTTCTTCAGTTACTCCGGCTTCCTCCCACAGTCCAAAACATGCAGGTTAATTATCGATTCTAAACTGGCTGTATTGATTGGTTGTCAGCCCTGTGATAGTCTGGTGATCTGTCCAGGGTGAACCCTGCCTCATGCCCAATGTCAGCTAGGACAGGCTCCAGCCCCCCCTAAGAGAATAATTGATGATGGATAATGAATGAATGGATGAACAAACTTACCCCTGGGCACTAATAAAGAAACCTTGAACCTTAAAATCTTGATCATAATTGAGATTATTAAATTGAATTCATAGCAGATTATTTGCTTCCACTGCGTGACTTTGGCAGTATAAGCTCCACTGGTTTTTAAGTTGATGCTGCAGATCCAGCAACAGTCCTGTCATCCCTCAGTAAACTTCTTCCCAGGAGCCACATTTTCAGCCCTCACTCCTCCTCCTCTTTGTGCTCATCCTCCCTTTAAACTCGGCAGCCTGTGATGCTGCCAACCCTCCTGCATCACGGAGCCTTCGCCACATGCTGTTGTGCTGTATCAGACGGGGAAATACTCACTATTGTCCGTAGGATACGGGCCTACTATTGATTCCAGTCTGCTCCCTCCCCTCCTCCTCTCCTCCCCTCCTCCCCCCCATCACACTCACGCTTCCCACCTCCCCTCAGCCTCTCAGCATCTCTCGTCTTCCTTGGACTGCAGCAGAGAAACCGCTGCATCGAAGAAGACAAGAAAAAAGAAATCTTCGGCGCGATGCTTTCTATCTCTGCTGCTGTGTAGAGAGGGGGGGAACAAGGGAGCGGGCGACTCATCGAGCTCGGTACGATGCATCTGCTCCTCTCTATGATGTGAGTATTTATCTGCTTTCTAAATGTGCCAAACTATAACTTCATCTCCCTCCGCACTCCGCTGTAGGGGAACATATTGATCCTATCTATCTTTATCTGCCTTTTTGGATCATTTAATATGCAAAATGGAAAGAGGGGATGTCGGATGCACCTGATGATGAAAATTTTTGCAATGGCAATAAAATAAAGCCGCTGTGCGCACGATTGACGGAAAAGTTGGATAACTTTCTGAGAGTTGTTCAGCACAATCGTTATTAAAGAGATTACACCATATGTATTGTGGCCTATTTGATAAGAATATGTGGTTCTTTTTAATAAGAGCATATTCTTAGACACGCACCTGATTCATAATAGGAAAGTTTTTTTTATTCTGAATGCAGCAAAAAAAGGACCCTGCGCACAATTTAACAATCAATGCAGTGACTTTCCAGATCTACCGTGTGGAGGTGGTTGTGGTGATGATGCCAGGGTGTTACCATCCTGACGTGCTGAACAGTCGTGGAAAGATGAGTTGGTACACACGCACGGCGGAGGCAACCCCCGAGCTTTCCCGTCCGCCGAGCGCGCACATGCAGGCAGAGGGAATCTGCAGTGAGCTGCGCAGAGAGAGGCAGAGAGAGAGAGAGAGTGTGAGAGAGAGAGAGAGAGAGAGAGAGAGAGAGAGAGAGAGAGAGAGAGAGGGGGGGGGGGGTGGGGGGGGGGTGTCCATCCATTACTCAGGAGTCAGTGCTCGATGCAGTGTGAGGAGACAGTCATCTAACTGTACAGCGCACTGTGTCGCAAGGGAGGATTGATTTCCAGGCAGCAGGACAGCCCGAAATCTAATTATGGGACGCGACTTGCGTCAAAAGACTCCGCTGTGATTGATGCTCCTTCCTGTACGTGGAGCTGCTGTGTCGGCTGCAGTAGTAGTTCCACGCTGCAAGTGGAACAAAGAGGAGGAAAGTGACAGATGAGTTTTGCATAAAGCTGTCCCACGAGGCTGAATGGGAAGTTTGATTGGGTCAAACATTGAGAAATAAAACCAGGTGTTTGCTGCAGGGCCGTTCTCTGACAGGATAAAGGTTCAGTTTGAATAGATATTTGTCAAACACCCAAGTCAGTAAATGAATGTTTGTCTTAGGCCCCTATACCTGTGTGTTTGCTTTAGCTCAGCAGCTGACAATGCAGGCATCTATTCAGTCTATTTAACCATTTATTATTGACTGTTATCTGGGCTCCATCCAAACACAAAAGAAGGTCTGTCTTACATGCATATGCACCACATGTCATGATGAGGAAAAGCTACGTTGCAATCTGTCAGCCAATCACTAGCCTGGAAAGAGGGGAGAAGGGAGCATCGTCTAACCATTCAAATGTGCACCCACACCAACATAGATGGTTGTAGAACACCACAGAGGAGAAACTGAGCTCACTTACAAGTCCAGTGAGCAGTCATTCCTTTAAAACATAAAAGCAGTAGTAAGAAAGGACAAAAATGAACAGGAGGAAGAAGTAGCAAAGCTAAATTAGATTCCTTTGGATTTTTTTATAAACAGTTGCCGGTAGTGTGTGTGCGCCTAGTAACTAGCATGCATTAGGGCCTGTCACAATAGTGTGCAGTAGGGCCCATGGTAACCTTAAGCCACTGGTTGTACATATATCTATTTAATAGCATTCCGTTTTCTGTATGTACATGCCAGCAAAGCTAGCTCTTGTCCACTGTTGGCTGATTAAGCATGATCTGAGCCTGCTGCTAAGAGAAATCCCTCCCTATGAGCTAACTAGCATCCGTCCTGTTGTACTTCAGGTTTCTTTCTTTCTTTTCTTTTCTTTTCTTTTTGAATGACGAATACAGACTATTGCCGGCTGCTGGTATGGAGAGATATTTCCTGTCATGCAGGTATAGAACATATATGCTCGTTGGCCATCGGCTGTAGTCTTTGCTTTGTGTTCAAGTTCAACTTTTTGGCTGAGACACAGGCAGCATGAGGTGATGCAACACTCAGCCTTTGACGTTGCTATTTCTTTGATGTCTATGTGGTGTGTCTGGGTCCTTACAGGTGCTGCTAGGCAGATTTTGTCACCTTCAAACAGACTTAGGCTAGCTGTGTGTCCCCCATACAGTCTTTATGCTGTGATAAGCTAACTGGCTGCTAACTGTAGCTCCAAATTTACCGCACCAACATGAAAAAGAATGATCTTCTCAAATGACTGTCGGCAAAAAGTGAATAAGTGTATTTCCTCAAATTTCGCACTATTTCTATAATTCTGAAAAACACACACACACATGCACACACGCACACACACACACACACACACACACACACACACAGTTTGGGCATCCACACAGGGACTCCCACAGCAGCTGGTCAAACTCCAGCAGTCAGTGAACCCTCACAGCCATCATTATATACAAGCAATCAGGCAGCTGTGTGTGTGTGTGTGTGCGTGTGTGTGTGTGTGTGCGTGTGTGTGTGTGTGTGTGTGTGTGTGCGTGTGTGTGTGCTGTGTGTGCTGTGTGTGCACACATCAGGAGGAGAACCCAAATTAAGTGCTGTGTTGTTTGATAGTTCCCTTTGCAGCACTGCATTTGTGAATCTGTGAATTTTTGTGTTTCTGCTCCTCATTTGTGTTCAGTGGATCTCTGAGCTGGAAGGCATGATGCTGCTGTATAATGTAGTGTGTGTTCATCCCTTTAATCTAAAGCCCCACTCCACCGCTCCCCTGGCGGCCATGCTCCTTCAGTAGCCTCTTGAGGCTGCGTGTTTTAAGTGCCTCTTCATCAGCATGTTTCTTTTTTTGGGAGGCAGAGGAATATGTTTCCAATGCCTCAACGTTCCTTTTCAGATGTTTGGAAGTCAGATCAAGCTTTTCATTAAATTAATCATCTTGAGTTTGCCTACAAAGTCTCCAGATCTGCAGTCAGTTGTAAAAAGATGTCACTCTCCATATTTTGGCCCAGCCCTACCTATTAACCTATTCTCCAGCAGTGGGTGTAGATCTTCAAAGCTTTGCTCTCGATCTTACAGATGTCTGCAGTCAACTTGGGATGAAAAAATGCCATCTTTCCACAGATCAGCATTTTTTCAACTTAACTACAAACATGGCTAAGCTTTACTTTTCTTTATTGTAGGGCCTGTGCCGTGTGTTTTGTCCACTGCCCTGATTTGCCAATGACTAGGACAGCAGACACATGGGTGACTGGGGATTGTTTCAGCTGGTAAAACCTACAAAGTCAAGGGGCTTCGCTGAGTGATGAAAAATTTGCAGTATATTAAACTCTATTTTAAGATGGCCACATGGCTGGCAGCCTGTACAGCAGCTCTCACCTTGTGGATGTTAAGACTGAAAACAATCCTGTATTTAAAAAACAAAAAGAAAATGCAAGGAGCTGTCAGGTACTGGTGAAGGGATGAAATAGATGATGAAATATGTATATAAGCATTAGTAGAGCTGCGGTATGCTAAATGTACCGTACCTGCACAAAATAAATAATATGAACAAATAGTATGTAGCCTACTAAGGATGCACGATAATGTTATTGGTGTCAGCTAATATCGGCTTTAAAATGAACTGTCAGAATCAGCCAACGTGCTTTTTCCTATTTTGCACAAAAGTATTCTATTTTATGTCTCCATCTGCTGGTGGGCCATCACGATAAGAGTATGCATGCATAATATGATGTTAATTCCTCTACAGAAGAGACTTGATGATCCTTAAAATTAGTTGGGGAAAAAAGTGAATATATCGATATTGGTATCAATTATTGGCCAAATAAGTTGTTACATATCGGCATATCATGCATCACTATTACTGACTTCTTAGAGCTCGAGATGCACCAATTTTTCGTCCGCACATCAGTTAGTACGTTTACATGCACAGTGAAGTCAAACTACGGTTATAGCTCAACTAAGCCATTTAAATAGACAACTGTCCTTGTCCCAGTATACAAGCACAGGAGGGGAATCGATTTATTGACCGAAGTATGTCCAACTCTGCTACTATAGGTGGTGATATGCCCCCTTTCAGCTTGTTAGTATTGGACCTTATTCCAGTTGACCTACTACATCACAGACCAAACAATCAACAAACAAGTTAGCTACAGTTAGCTAGCAGCAAACTGGTACCATGATGGACAACTTTACAACTCTGTACATTTCGCCAATCCAAAAATTCACGGCTCTGGATGTTTATATCACCATGTTATAGTGGCTTCTTCTACTGTTCCGCATTTAATGGTTCTGACTTCCAGGTCAAAGTCAGGTGGAAGCTGAGGAGCATGTGCAGAGCACCTCGACCAGTTTTGGTCTGACTGACTGTATACATGCAGGAGTAGTTCATCTCCCAGTTGCATTATGTTGGTGTGTTAGTCCGACTTTGAGAAACCCGATGTAATACGATTTAAGTGGGACTAACACAATAAATCGATAAATTGCCATGTAAATGCACTGAATATTGTTTTTTTTTGTTTGCTTTGTTGACTATGAACAAATAAAATTACATTCAAAGATGGCGGTGGATGATAAAAAAACAGAGCTTAAGACTAATGTCCTGCCATTCTGGAGTTGACAGAAAACTAGTTTGGGATGAACAGAGATCTTCCTCGGGACTCCCTCAGTACAAAAATAACGCAATAAACTCACTTGTCCTGATAATGCTATATTTTGAACAACAAATCTGTGTTGAAATCTATAGGAGGAGAGCTAGTTAACGTCAGCTGTCAGTAGCCAGTGGCCAGAACTAATGGCGCACTTCATTTGCACTGGAAAGTCAGAATTTCCAAGTTCCCGGTCAGAAATTTCAAATGAAATGCCCCCTAAAATCAGAGTTACTCTGAATGCCGGAGGAGCCTCACCCACCCTGACCTCAGACTCAAGATGGCTGCTCATCAACAGTAGTGAAAGCTGTAATAAAATACTGTTAATTAGCATTTCTGTCTTAATTGTGTCTCATTACACAGTTCTGTCTAACATTTATCTGTGTAAATGTCACTACAGTGTTTGTATGTGCATATATAG